CAAGTTTTCCCCTGGACCCTTCAATTACTTTTTACTAAATTCCTATCTTCAGTATAATATTTTTGAACCCTACTTTTATATCTCGCCGTTTAATACGAATCTTGTAGAGAACTTTACAAAATTATTTTCGTTCTGTTTTTCCTTTTTCCCTTTTCATGGTGCCGGCAAATAGAGTTTGGATAAAGTTGTGCGATAAGGTAAGCTTTTCATAATCTTTTTAATGGGGAGCGCTTATATTTTTCCGCTGAAATTGTAAAATAAAGTGGAAGACGAGTGGATTTCTCTTTTAGAGATGTCGCGTAGTTTGTTTGATGTAAAAATGAAACGGGATATTGCTCACTGCTTTTTAAATTTCGGTAAAGAAAGGTGTGCTTCAGAAGCTTGTAAAGATGTAATTAAAAAAATATTTATCTATATTTTGTTTAATACTAAATATCGTTGCTACCTATTAGGGTTGCCGGAACCGGAGCTGTTTTTCGGAACCGGGAATTTCGGTACCGCGCCTCTTAGGAACCGGGATTTTGCATTTTTTTTCGGTACTTTCGGTACTGACTAATTTTTGTTCAATGGTGTTGCAGTTCATCAATCAGAAAGCAAGGGATGGTTTTTCAAAGTAAAATGAATAAAAATTTGAAATTTTTAATGAAAATAATATCAAATTATTAAGTAATCAGTCAAGAAAAAATTAACATGAACATAAGTAAAGAAAAAGGGATAGATAACTTCACATCAAGCAACATAAACCAACTTAATTGAATTTGAGACAAAAACCCTAAAATATTGAAATAAAAATGCAAATATCTATTAAAACATAATACAGGGTGTCCCAGAAATGAGTGTAGATATTTTAAGGGGTGGTAGATCTGGTCAAAATAAACATATTTTCTCTTTACCATTTTTAAAATAAATTGAAAATAACCGAGTTATTTAACTTTGAAAATTTAAAAAAATAATCGCAACATTTTGAGAACCGCCTTCAGATATCGCCAACTACATCCAATTACCCGGAGCAAGCCCGGATTTCAGTTAATTCGACGCACTGTGCTGCCATAAGGACAAGAAAGTATATGTTAAAAGTAAATCATAAAATCACAACACCTGAGGAGTTTGCAGAGATGCATTATTGGTGCACCTTACATTTTTAAGATTGTGATATTCTTACATAAAATAAATTAAAAGTTAAATGTTTAATAATGTGTTAAAAATGTTAAATTAAAAAACTTACCCAACATTAAAAAAGATACTTATGACAGATCGATGTAACTGCGACAGTTCTCTTTTTCGATATACACTTAACTAAAATACACTTCACTGTGCTGCTTTACTTGTACATGCTATTATAATAACTACTAAAATAACGGTCCCCATTTTTAACACATTATTTTCATATAGGCCTCATCAAAATTTGAATCACTCATTTACAAAACATCTTGAAAAGCACACATTACTTTGAATACCTTTCTAAATGAATAAATGTTGTGAATCTTGCCGCCACTGTTGTCACTTCCGAACTACTTTCAATCTAAGAAAAAACATGTTTCACTCAACAATTTTAAATACGTATTTTGTTTTTTCGCTATTTTTTCTATGTATTTCAACAATTCCATCGATAGCCCAAACGTCGCGTCGGCCGTCGGCCAAGAGAGCGGCGCATCACTGGTAACTAGAAGTGGGTTGTGAAATCGCAGTCCGCTACTTTGTCACAGCTCCACCAATGTCGCAGTATGTGACTGCTCCAGTTCCAAGAAAATCGCAGTGACATTTCGGAGCAGTTTGCAAGTTTAGGACATCTGCGCTCATGAGTAGCAATAGGAGCAATAGCAGGCAATAGCACAGCTTAAGTAAAAACCAGCTCGGACAGTGTAGCGTGCCGCTTTGATCTTTTCACGCTCGGATTTGCGATTCGAAAGAGGGGGAACACTAGAGCGGCGAGCTCTCTCGCCAAAACCAATAGCCGCCTAAGCGCCAGTCAGCCCAGAGATGTATTCAAAAAAAAATTTACACGTGACGTAAAAAATTATTTGACTGGTGCTAGAACATAATTTAGATACACGTGTTTTAAATTGTTGACTTTAAATAAATATGCATTCTCAAAGAAAAACATTTAAAAAACAAATTAATTAATTTATTTCTAGAAAAAACATCAAAATGAAATAGGTACATTGATTACTTATAGTTATTTACGAATGTTTCTAAATTAGGAGCTTTCGGTTTTTGTTTGCTACATTTAAGTTCTTATTAATATTCTTTAATGTATAATAAATTCTAACTTTTGCGTATAATTTTAACAAAAAATACATTATAGGAAAATTTTGATTGATGGTTGAATTTAATTGTCTGAAATAATTTAACGAATTTACATAATATATTTTCATTTAAGGAAAGTTCTTCAAAATTGTTCTGAAAAATTTTATAAAAAAACTTTTTTAAAAACAAGTTTTTATTTAAATACACTAAAAAGAACAAAATAAACTTTTTCTTTAAAACTTTTATTATGAACTTATAACGTCATTACACAATTTTAATATTATATAAAAGCTTGTCGCGAGATTTGAGTGTACAGTTGCACTCATAAAAATCTGGTACGACAACTTTATCTTGTAATTCCTGGTCTAGTGGTCTATCATAACACAAACTTTGAAAATGAGACAGGGTAGACACAGGTTTTAGTTAATTTACTTGTTTATCGATGTAGAGAAATCTCACGACAAGCTTTTATATATCTAATATTAAAATTGTGTAATGACGTTCTAAGTTCATAATAAAAGTCTTAAAGAAAAAGAGTTTATTTTATTCTTTTTAGTGTATTTAAATAAAAGCTTGTTTTTAAAAAAGGTTTTTTTATAAAATTTATTTTCTACTTTTTAGTTATGCTGGTTTCTCAGTGCCACACACTTAAACTCAATTTTTTTCTTAAATAACTTTCTATGGGTATCCTAATAATATGTATATCGATTTTCATTAAAAAAGGAGAACTTAAAAAAAACGACAGCTGTCAAATTTGACAGTTCAAATGTGAGACAAATAAAATGAAAACCGACTATGGGGTAGGGGGCATCCAATATATCGATTTTTATCAAAATCGGACAAATTTGAAATTATTTGACAGCTGTCACATTTGACAGCTCAAAATTTTTTTCTTTCATTTTAGCCCACGGCCATCATCGATTTTTATCAAAATCGGACAACTTTGAAATTTTTTTGACAACTGTCAAATTTGACAGCTCAACATTTTTTTTTCATTTTCGCCCATGGCCGTCCTATATATCAATTTTTATCAAAATCGGACAACTTTGAAATTTTTTTGACAGCTGTCAAATTTGACAGCTCAAATTTTTTTTCTTTCATTTTAGCCCATGGCCATCCTATATATCAATTTTTATGAAAATCGGTTGACTTTGAAATTTTGACATGTCATTAAACTGTCATTTTTTCAAGATGGCCGCCCATATATTTTTTTTCATATGTATATACCCACAATATACCTATACAGGTTGTTAAATTGTTCATTACTCGCGGCAAGAGTTTTATGGTTGAAATAACCTCGGCCCGCTCGTCGATAGACGACGCGACGGGACGAGTCGGCAGAAAAATCAATAATGCATACGTTCTCAATAGGCAGTGTTGCCATTCTGTTTCCCTATAAGTAACTGTCGAGTTAACAACCTGTATATATAATATATATATATATATATATATATATATATATATATATATATATATATATATATATATATATATATATATATATAATTTCAGCCCGATCCATTCATAAATAGAATTTTAAAAAATCAAAACCTCAAAATGCCGCCATTTTGACAGCTGTCAAAAATTCGGGTCATGCCTTGCAAAAAATGTATTGTCATCGGGACTGAACCTACATGCCAAATTTCAATCTCCTACAATAAAAGGAAGTGGTTTTAATTTAGCTTACAAGATTTGCCCCGAACAAACATACATACATACATAGATAGTTACATACAAAGCAAGTTAAATAAAAGCTTATAAAAATAACCTCCAATGAGGAAACTAAATAAAAAAATGGTCACTTGGTATTAGCAAGCCTCCAAATAAGTAGTCTTCATCGTTTTGAAAAGCTCTAAAGTATGAATATACTTTTAAATTGAACATTAATTTTGAATTGAAAATTAAACAGACTATATTTTGAATTATTTCCATAATTATTTGTGTAACCAGCAGCCGCACATCCCGGAAAACCTTTTCCCATTCCATCAATAAAAATAAAATTGAAATAAAAGCACAAATACCTATGGTTAAATATAAGAAAAAAAATCGAATTAAAATCTTCCGTAATACGGCCCTACGCGCCACCGGTGGAGGCTATGCATCGACTGAATGAGGCTGACTGTCGGTCGCTTAATTCATTTAGCGCATCGTCGGAGTAGGGCGTTTTAAATTCGAGCGTGGGAAAAATTGGCGAGTGTCCAAGCCATAGAGAAAGTTAATAGTTTAGAGAGTGGTGAATCGCGTGGTAAAATGTTGGGAGATTGCGCTTTTAGCGCCCTCTACTTGGCTACAGGTACGAACTATGAAAGAGCGGGAGATTTAAATTATTATTATACTTATTATTTTTAAGGCAATTAAAACTAAGTGTGCCCTTAACCAAAAACAGTGATATAAATGGAGATACCTACTCAAATTTTATATTATCATGATACTAAAGGATATAAATACAGCATTTATAATCCTTTTACACCTTTTTATTCAAAGTCTTACACGCTAATATAAAATTTGACTATTTCCATTTATTTCACTATTTTTGGTTAAGGGCACTCTTAATTTTAATTTTCCTTTTTTTATGGGAAAACGATTAAATGGGAAGAATTGAATGGGAATGGAAAGAATGACCAATTATTGTATTTTGTATTAATTTATAATACCCCTATTCTACTAATATCTAGCTACATTGTACTTACAGTTAAATAGCTACATAGTACTAGTTATATACATATTTACAGTTTTATGCTGGCTATTATTTCTTTTCATCGTGCTATCAATTGATTCGCTCCGACTTGAGTACTATACCTCGAGATGGCTCCAGGAATTATTTACCTTTACAGGCCTAGAATATGAAGATTCACAGTAGAATTTTTGGTTTTACTGCCTATTCGAAACAAACCTACCCCCCTACATCAAGGGACATACAATTATGCCTTGTTCTCGGCCATGATATTCCTTCCATTCTATATCCAACATCCAACTTAGCACACCTTCTGGTTCACAACAGGGCCTAGACTGGTCGGATGACATTTTAACAGAATAGCCCTTGATATCTCTTTCACACTTTTATTTAATAATTAAATAGGAGGGCTGGATGGTATAATTTCTAGAAAGAATAGCCTGTGAAATAAAAACTTAGGCATGGACATTACCTTTCTTACCTTTGTCTGCTATTTTTTAATAAAAAACAACTGTTTAGTTTGCAAAAAAATAAAATTAACAATCAAAAATTTCTTAAAAAATGATCAAGCCTTGTACTACGCCGCGTGCCGCTTTTTGAACAAACAACAAACAAAAGAAAAAAGAATCAGGTTAGCGGCGTTGCCAATGTCAATTTTCTAAACTACCCAAAAATCTAAATTAAATTCGCCAATTTGGGGAGAAAAATGTCCCGATTCGTCCCGCTCCGTTTTTAAAGCTAAAAATTTTACGCCATTTTCAATCAGCAATAAAATGTTGAAACTCCCCTTATTTTCGCCCCCTATTGCTAAAATCCCCACAAAACTCCCAATCGGCTCCGGATTCCCCAAAATTTGGGGAATTCCCCACAAATTGGCAACGCTGGAGGTTAGCGTGTTCTTTCTGAATATGCTAAGACTAACGGACTAGTGTCGAAACACAGATAGCTAGATGGACGTATTTCGGCACTTGCGTCGATGCGCTACAGGTACATTTGCCTGCGCGTCGTATGTCTTCTGGCAGTCTTTTAATTTTTCTGTTTGTCTATGGTCCAAGCTATATTTTTTTGTAAGCTGTGGCAATAGTGTAAATTCTGAAAATGCTCCTAGCCCCGCCGCTCGGTCAGACTGTTCCAGTCACAGTCAATTATACATTCATATAAGTTTTATTATTTATATCTATTTTTAAGGTCTGATGATGGCTAAATAGCCGAAACCGGTCACTAATAAAGAATTTTTTGACAGTGGTTTCGACCATAAGTTTCGACTTTGAATTGAATATAACATTAAGTTTTTACTATGGGCCACCACTCTGTGAAAATGAACAGACTCTTTAAGATTTTTGTAGCAAAGTGCTTGGTACTTAGAAACACTCAAATTCTTCTTAATAGACTAAAAAAATATAGCAACATCTATCAAAGTAAGACAAAAGAAAAATCAATATATTCTTTTTCGTAATAGACGTAATATCTGAAATATTTGCTACAGTATAGTACCGTACAGCCGCGATTTTAAGAGCTCTAGGGGCCCGCAGCTCGGAAAAGTTCGAATCTTGTTCGTAAGGGCCCGGTAGGCTTGGGGCCCGTCGGTGACTTACCCCGATTGCACAGACGTTAAAATCGTCACTAGTATCGTATGACCGAAATAAAAACCTGCGTCCAGTTGGCTTGGAAATGACAATCGATAACATTCCCCATAAATTTTACATATAAAATGCCAGCGATCTTCATTTCATAGCTATCGCTGACGCCGTTTTTTTCGATCATACGATATAAATAAATAAAAACTAAACGATAAACGATGATGTTGCCTATCATAATCACACCTATAGTCCTGTACTTATTTAGTAAATGCAACGAACGGTGCCGAACACCGAGTACGATTTTTCGGAGCAATTAACCTATAAAACTACATTTTTAATTTATAGGTTAATTGCTCCGAAAAATCGCTGCTACTTGTCACAGTGCTTTTATTGGAGCAGTCGCAGAGCGTAGCAGCTCCACAAAAATCGCAGACTGGCCCACCTCTACTGGTAACTGATAACTGCTCCTTTGTCGCGCCGCCGTGTCGAGCTTGCGTCATGCGAGGTTGCCGTAGTTTCAACAATTTCAAATTCAAGACACTCGAAGCAATCAAATTCTTATTAAATTTTAAAAATAAAACAGAAAAACATGAAAGGAAACAAACAAAACACAAATGAATTGGTTATTGATAAGGTCACAAAAAAGGAATTTTTAAAATGTTTATCGTAATTCAGAATTCAATACATCGAAAACAGCCCGACGAATAATAAATTCATTTTTGTTTTCTTTATTTCCTTTCATGTTTCTCTGTTTTATTTTTAAAATTTAATACGAATTTGATTGCTTCGAATGTCTTGAATTTGAAATTGTTGTAACTACGGCAACGTTGCTTAACATCGTCGTCTGACGCAAGCCCGCCACGACGGCGCGGCGACCGGCGACTCAAAGGACCAGTTCACACGCGGCGGTTCTTGGCTGACGGTTAGTCCAGAGAAGAACGATCGGTTAGGCGGTCGATGGAATTGTCGAAATACACCGAAAAAATAGCGGAAAAACAAAATACGTTGTCAATAATTGTTGAGTGAAACATGTATTTTCTTAGATTGAAAGTAGTTCGTAAAGTGGCGATAAGAGACAATAATTCTCGAGAAAATAAGCAAGAATAATAAGAAATAGCATCACTACTGATTTAGAAGAATTTGATTTCGAGCGCTGGAAAGTATCAAAGGACTTTCTCACATAACAAAAAACAATTCTTTAATTATCGTTACCGAAGCCTGCTGATAGCCAAGATCTGAACCCTAATTGGTAGTATTAATTAGAGTTTCCGGAACCGTACTAAAACATTTCCGTTCAATGATTGTGGAGTTCGTCAATTAGCAAGCAAAGGATGGTTCCTAAAAGTAAAGCCGATAAAAAATAGAGTTTCAAATGAAAATAATACCAAATTATTAAGTCATGAGAAAGCATACATGAACACAAATAATGAACACAAGACACAAGCGAAAAAAAAAGAAAACAAAATTATTTTCATTCTAGCTTAAATTAGTTTAATTCTAGGTAGCTTAAAAATTACATCAAACAACATCAACCTCGAGGTTGGTTGGTTAAAGACTATTAAAAAACATCTTTTATTTTTGTTTGGAGGCTACAGCTTCTTTCATAATAATTTTTGCGTTGTTAAAATACAAAGTTTTTATTTTATTTATTAACCATTACCATTAAAACTTGCTCCCCCCCCCCCCAACCCTTCTATGTAGACTTCAGAACAACCTGATAACGGAAAATTATGTATGGATATGTATACACGCACATACCGCAGAAATAACTAGACCAAACACATAAAATTTACTTTCTTGTGTCGAGTAGAATAAGCAAATAATACTATAACGGAGAAAATGGTAGGAAAACTTACAGAAAAAGAAATATAATATTATGGGTGTTTCCGTAGTTTAGATAAGAAAAACTAGGTTTAAAAATGTAGTAAATATTCACGATAAGAACATAATAAACGCTTAACTGGAAAACATTTATAATTACACATAAACATGAAAATAGGTATATGCTGTATACTAGTTTCACGGTTGTGATGGACTTTTTTTCTTCAGCGCAAAATGCAAGTTCTTCTAACGTGTGTAATTCTATGGGCTAATAGTAAGTTCTAACATCAAAAGTTTCAATGCGAGACAGCCTTACTTACCTATTGTACTGTATTGTTATTACAAAAAAGATATTTTTTAAATATTCTTTTACTGTAGCTTCAAAGATGAGCCTGAATAGGGCCAAGTTATTAACTGCATTAGCTCGATTATACAACTCTATGTATATTTTTCCTATATAGAAGGATGTAATTAATAAGTGATAATAATTTAAGTGATTATCGCTTGGTGGCCATATTGTAATTGTCATTTCTTGAAATATTAATTCAGAAGTCATTTCTGTCAGTTCCACAAACTATCCCGTCAATTCTTATTACAAAATGGCAAAAGACAGATTTGGTGATATTTATTACAATAAAAATGTTTAAGATAAGAAGGATATATGTACTTTATTTCGTTGTATAATCTTTTGAATACAAATCGATGTTTAGTGATTAGCTACCTAATACTTTTGCCTGACACTCAATGCGATACCGGCAACACTACTACTGTTGCCGGGTAACGCATTTCGTGTCAGGTAAAAGTATTATTCGGTAATCCCGAAACATCTTGTGGTATTACATTCGACAACAGAAAGTTTTGGACCTTGGATCTTCTAGAAATGAAAATGCTGCCAACTGGAATACACCGTTATTTTCCAATGATCAAAATACTGAGTCAATAAATAACCAAGGCTGTGACCACTGTAAGAAACACTTGATTTTATATAATTTATAGAAATATGTAGTGACGCCGACGTTTAATACAAATTTTGTGAAAGTGAATCAAATTATTTATTAATTTTTAATTTATTACTTTTTCAACATTTTAAACTACACTTTTTTAAATATGTCCTTCAAATTCTTCAATTTAATAACTGTTAGTAAGAAGTTTTACTTCAAATATACGCACATAATAGGTAGGTAGTGCACTCACATTTTTTGAAGTGAAACTTCTTTAAATAATAAAAAAACGAGACGCGCGAGAGGGATAGTAATAGCGGCAGTGTTGCCACAGCAACCCTATTCGGAATTGATCTACCCCTTTGTAAAACAATTTAACCCCGTTATCTCATGATAATTTACCGCGATGAAAAATAAGCTTATGTGACAATACTGGGTAACGATCTGTGTCATACGCGGCTAAAAAAAATCAATATAATAAACTTGATATTGTACCAACCTTGTGTGCTAGGAAGTAAATTTTCATGTATATTTTTATCGATAGGTTTGTAGCTTCTGAATAACAGTCTAGCTCATTTGCCAGCTCAGAATAAGAATTTAGAGTTAGTAATTCGCATTTTCATTGGAGGACACTGCCATATTTAGTTCAAATTTCAAACCAATAAAATCAACGAGAATATTCGTATAATTTAATAAAACTACTGTAAATCACTATAAATAATGAATTTTATAACAGAAAGTGCCCTGCGGTTATTTAAAATATTAATCCGGTAAATGATGGGGATTATGATGAAACTTTTATTAACATTCTGAGAACTCGAATAATGACAAGACAAGTGACATCTGTTTCAAAAAGGCAGCGATTTAGAGTGATAATTTGGTTATGTAAAATTTAGAGTAACAATTTTGATTATGCAAAAGAAATACTGATTGCCTAACGATTAACATTACTTTAAAAATAATTCCCCAACATAAATAATGAACAAAACATTTAAACAAAAACAGACCACTCAAAACAAATTATTGGTTAATATAGCAGTTAGTAGTAGTCAGAGATATAGATGCAGTATTTTGGTTTAATGGCCACAGCTGTCAAGCCATCCGGCCGAGTGATTATCGTTTTTTATCATTAAGATACGCGGGTGAAAGTTGCACAACGAGTGCGTAGCACGTGTTGCGTGACCACACAAGTACCTTTTGTGTGACCACACAAGTACAATGGAGTTAACTCGCGTGTATTGTACAATATTTTATCTACGTCTAACTATAAAAA